CCCCAGGTGGTCCTCGGGGCTGGGTCTGCCACCACCCTGTTCCTGGGCTTCATGGACAAGCTCAAAAATGCACGGAGTCCAGGAATTGCAAAATGCTTAAAGTGTATTTATGAAACAGCTTGGCATTTCCTGCACCGGGGACACAGGCCCAGGGCCGAGGTAGCGTGAGGCTCTACCTCCCGGTATCCGCCATGCAGCCGGTGGCCATGTCACTGACAGTCATTCGTGAGACCCTCACGTGGTGCTTAAGCCCCAGCACGGCAGGCTGGACCCGTGGCCAGAGGAGCCCCCGCCAGCCCCAGGCTCTGCCTGAGCAGGTGTCCACAGGCACGAGGGGCTGCCCAGCGAGTGCCGCGGTGACTGTGTCCGGACTCGTCACCGGACAAGGACGTTCTCTCCGGTGGTCAGTGGGCAGGGGGCGCCTGGGCCCCTGCTCGCCGGCTCCGGCCGCCTGTCTCCTGGCTGTGTTCCTCCTCGCTCCGCTCGTGCTCCCCCGAGTGGCTGGTGTCACCTGGCGAGGGGCAGTGCTGGCCCACGCAGCCGCACTCCTCCACCACGGTGTAGCTGAAGGCCCGGCGGGAGCCGTCGGCGCAGTGCAGGGTCACGTTCCTCAGCGAGGTGCGCAGCTCCTGGCAGCACCTGCACTTGTGCTGCAGCGCGTTGGCCTCCAGCGAGTACCTGTGGGCAGGGCCGCTCAGCGCCGGGCACCACGCGGGCTCCGTGGCCTTGTCCCCACCCCCTCTGCCGGAGGCCAGCGCGTGACACCGGCTCTCATGCACGAGGGTGCGAGGACTCCCTCTGGGGCTGACGCGGGGTGGGGGCAGACACACGAGCGGCTGCAGCGAGTGACCCAGGGGGGAGCCCCGAAACCCCGGCCCCGGCGCTCAGCCCCGTCCAGACCCATCCCTGGCCTCAGACCGCGGGCCTGGGCCCCTTCCTGGCCCCCATGGTTCTGCCCCTCAGCTGCCCAGCCCCCCGAGCCCCGGGGCCGCCTCCACCCTCTGCAACCACGAGTTCTCTGGACGTTGCCCAGGAGCTGCCAGGCGGGGGCTCACGCACAGGGAGGCGGTGTCCCCACAGTTGCCCTGGCAGTAGGCCAGGCGCACCGGCTCCGCGGAGCTGCAATTGTGCTGCTGGATGAGCTGCTGCTCGTGGTGCACTGCGCAGGTCGACCCTGGGGAGCGACACGGTGGGGCAAGGGTTAGGCCACTCCCTGGACCTCCGCGGGTGGATCAGGCACCCCGGAAGACACGCGCACTTACCGGGCAGGGGTGGGGGACAGAAGAGGCAGCAGCCGTCCTCGCCCAGCTGGGCCTGGTGCTGTGCCAGAAAGAGCCGGTCAGTGCGGGGAGGACACGCGGCAGCCCAGTGGGAACAGGCCGGGAGTGGGGCCCGGCTCAGGCAGGAGCGACAGCCCCGACGCTGGAGGTGACATCCCCGTCGGGGACACCCCCCTGCCGGGCCTGGGGCCCAGAACTCACCAGAGCACAGCTGAGGCGGGGACACGCCTTCCGTGTGGTCACCACCACCAGCCCGTCCTGGCTCCTCTCACACTCGTGGGTCACGCAGCGGTTCCCGGGGTCTGACCAGGTCTCCCCAGGCTGTGAGGGAGCCGGGCCCGTGAGTCCCCCCCGCACCGCCCTCCGTCTGTACATCCATCCGCCCCAGCCCTGCGGTGCAGCTTCCCGAGCACCCAGGCCAGGACCCGCCTGCCCAGAGCCCCTGGACCAGGCCGATCCCCGACGCTGCCCAGCCGCGCGGCAGCCACTACTCACATAGAAGAGGTGGGTGGTGCTGCCACTGGTGTTGGTGACGCAGGCCACCTGCACGCAGGTGCCACAGCACTGCCCGCTCCGTGCCTGGTACTCGAAGCCCTGAGGGAGGGGGGACGTGAGGTCTGAGCCCTGGCTGGCTGCGGGGGACGGGCATGGGCAGGCCGGCGGGGTGCTCACCGTGGGGCAGTGGGTGTCGCAGATCTGGGTCTCACAGAGAACCACAGGCGTGTCTGCCTGGGGGCCACCGGCCACCTCACACCTGCAGGTTTCGCACAGTTTGGAGGACACCACCGCACCGGGCTGGGGGAGCGGGGGTGACGGCATTAGTGAGCCCGACTGGGCGTGGGCGGGGTCCGCCTCCCATCCCCTCCAGGCCCCGCCCCTGCCAGGCCGACCCGCTCCCCTGGGGGGTCCCGGGCAGAAACTCCTGGCCCAGAGACCACAGCCCAGGGGCCCCACGCTGCACCCGCAGTGAGATCACACAGCTGGGGCCCGGCTGGGGGCCTTGGCGCATTCGGGATGGAGAGGTGGGCTCCGGGCCCGGCTGGCACCATGGATGCTGAGGGGCTGGAGCCCCCAGAGCCCCGGGCCAGCCCTGGCAAACAGGCATTCACCCCTCCAGAGCTGCAGGGCCGACCTCGGGCTTCAGCCACTCCGGTGTGCAGGCTGCACTCTCAGACTCCGTCCCCAGGGCCCAGCGGGAGCGAGTGCCCCGGCCACCCCGAGTCTGCTCCGAGGGGCTGGCAGGAGACCAGGGCGGGCGGGAAGCTCAGTCCCTGTGGCTGTGGGGTCTGCGCCCCGCTGGCTCTCACCTGGTACAGAGTCCCGTTGACGCTGCAAACCGTCCAGTCTGCCCGGGGGAGATAAGCAGGCTGCAGCCGGCCTGGCAGCGACCCCCCCCAACCCGCTCGTGCCTGCCCGGCCTGGCAGAGACACCCCCCCACCCACTCGCTGCCGCCTCTGGCGCCGGACGCTGGGTGCCGGAGTTCCAGGCCCCTCCCTGCAGCTGTAGCCACAGACCCGCGGTGGGTGAGCTGCGGCTTTGCCTGGTTAAGCCCCGAAAATTCCCAGACTGGGTCCCCAGCCCGCCGCGCCCGACAAGGCCTGGTGCCCGGGTCGGGGACACTCACTGCAGTTCTGGGTTGGGCAGCAGGCCCCCTCCTCGTGGGTCAGGACCCAGCGGGAGCCGTGGGGACACTCCATGGGCCCGGGGCAGTGGCTGGCGTTGCAGGCTGTGGGCGGGAGGAGGGGGTTGGGAGTCTGCGCCCCCCCGCCCCACCTGGCCCCAGGGGTCTCCGGCAGCACTGGCCGCGGGTGGCTGGGGAGGCTCCGGGCCAGGCGTGGCGGAGGGCCCCCTCCCCCACACCGGGCTCCAGGGATGCCAGACAAGGCTGCGGCGGGAGCTGCCTCCACGCGGCCCAACCAGGACGCCCTTCGGGCTGGTGCCATGTGGCCAAGGAAGGCTGCACAGCGGAGGGGCCGGGCCATGTGTATGTGGCCAGCAGGTGTCCCCACCCAGTGCGTGCCTTACCGCAGCTGTACTGAGGGCAGCACTGGCCGGCCCCAGGGGCCGCAGGCACAGGCACCAGGCCGGGCAGGGGGCAGGCGGGGGGCGGTGGACAGGGCTTCGTCCGGCAGGTCACAGTCCAGGCGGCCCCGTCACAGGTGCACTCCTGGCAGTCGACGCTGACTGTTTGGCCAGGCTGTGGGCAGAGGACCAGTGAGCCCAGGCCGGGGCCTTCAGAAGCGCCTCCCGTGTCCAGCAGGGCAGAGGGTCCGGGGCAGGGAAGGGCGGGGAAAGCCTCAGGGTCAGCCCCACGCAGCCTCCCTGGGGCGCCGTCCGCGAGGCAGGCCGGGTGGCCGGGACAGAAGCCTCCTGAGTCCCGCTGGGGACTCCAGCAACCTGCCCTTCCCCCGACACCTAGATGTAGGCCCCGCCCCTGCCCCACACTGGCCACTCTGGGGTCTGTGTGTCGGAGCCTCTCTCCTCAGGCTCCTGGGCCCCAGGGACGGGAGGGGGCCTGAGCTTACCTCCATGGCCTCTCCGCGGGGCCCCAGGCACCCTGGGGGGAGAGGGACCAAGGTCAGCGCTGGGCAGGCCCCGGGGTCTGCCACGCCCACGCAGCCCACGCGGCCCACACCCGGTCTACGTACTGGGGCAGCCCACGGGCACACAGGCCTGGGTGCTGGCGCTGAAGAACATCATGTCCTTGGGACAGAAGCAGCCTTCCGTGATGGCCCCAGCGACCGGCAGGACCCTGCAGGGAGCAGAGGGTTGGCCGAGCCCCTGCCCCAGGGTGGAAGAGCCCGGCCGGGAGGGGCAAGCACTTACACGAGGCTGGCGTTGTTGTTCCCGTGGCAGTAGGTGGGGTCGGCCGGGCCACAGGGCTGGTACACCTGGTCGTCCGGGCAGGTGAGTGCTGCAGGGACATGGGGGCCACGCCTGAGCGGGGGAGGCTCCGCCAGGAGCGGCTCAGGCCTGGGAGCACCGGTGCCCATGTGGGAGCTGCCGCGGCCACCAGAGGTCCAGGCCGGGGGCCCCGCAGGCTCCACCGCTGCCTGACCTGACCACCGCTCCCCAGCGCCCAGGCCATGGGTGCCCCGACTTTCTCTCAGGGAAACCGAGTGTGCTCTGCCCTGGGGTCAACCCTCCTCCCCCTCCAGGAAGCCCACCCTGACCACCCAAGCCCACCCGCCGACCATCTGCCCGGCATGTCCACCCCCTCACGGCCAGCACGACCTGAGGGTGGCGGTGGCAGGGCACTCACAGCACGTGTGGTTGGTCTGGCTCCTCCAGTCAATGCACACGCCGTAGGACGCGCACAGCGACGCGTACAGCTCCAGGCCGGAGCACACCACCTCCGGGTCCGTCATGTGGCAGTGGTCGAAGGCGCAGCCCTCGTAGAACTGCCACGGGGGGATCACGGCGTGGCACGGCTCGAAGACCCTGCAGGAGGGGAGGATGGGGTGGTGGGCACAGCCCCTCCGCGGTGGGGGCTTCCAGACGGCAACAGGCATGACGCCCCTTGGGGGACCCCACGGGCGGTGGGTCTCTGGGCCTCTCCAGGACGATAGGGAGCGTCCATGGGGTCCCGCCCCCCGTGCTGGGGCGGGGCCCGGCGGCCCTCATGTCCTCCTGCAAACCCTTCCCCAGGGCCCCCGGCACCGTGACCGACGCCCCCACCAATGGGTGCCCCCGGGACAGCCTGGGCACGGGCAGGGAGCCCCTGAAGACCGCTGATCCCACCGGCACTGGGAGGGGGATCGGCGGGGCGATCTCACTGCGGGTCTCACTTGCTCAGAATCAGCTGGCAGATTGGGGACACCGGGCACACGGCAGACGGGGATGTGGGCCCCACGGTGGTGGGCCCCACGGTGGTGGGCGCCTGGCGAGGCCCGTGGCAGGACGGCTGGTCCGGGTCGGTCACGTTCCAGAGGCCGGACATCTTAGAGCAGGAGGTGGCCACAGCCCCCCCGGGCAAGCGGCAGTCGTCCTTCTGGTCATTGGTGCAGGTGCCTGGCCAGGCGCGGAGCGAGTCAGGCCGTGGACCGCAGAGCCGGCCCAGCGCACCCCCTGCCCGGGGGCTCCGCGTCCCCACACCTGGGGGCCGGGCCCTGGCGTCTCAGGGTCACCCCTCTGTGGGCTGGGGGGGCCGCTCACCCTCCGCCTGCACTGACGACCCACCACGAGCTCGGCAGGCGTGAGCTCAGGCGTGTGGCCCGCGCTGCCTGGCGTGTTCTTACAGCTCAGCCGGCGCCCACTGAGGAGCTGCCGTGGCCACCAGCGGTCCTGGCCGGGGACCTGGGCCCCGCAGGCTCCACCGCTGCCTGACCACGACCACGCTCCCCGGCACCCCAGGCCGTGGGTTCCCCGACTTTCTCTCATGGAAACCAAGAATGCTCTGCCCTGGGGTCGGCCCTCCACCCCCTCCAGGAAGCCCACCCTGCCCTCACAGCCGAGAACAGTGTCCCAGGCCAGACTCGTGCCCGGCGCTGCCCAGGGACAGCCTTGGGCCTCACCGCACTGCCCCTCGGTGTTGTTGGCGAACTTGCTGAACGGCACCTCCACGGAGAAGATGAGACCGCTGAACATGACCTGCAGGCCGATCTCGGGGATGGTCACATACATCTTTATGCCGACCCGGGAGACCACGATGCCGTTCTTCTGGAAGCCGGGGCTCACCACCTCGTTGTTGAAGATGATCTGGGCGCGCGGCGGCGGGAAGAGAGGGGCGGGCGCGGTCAGGGCCGCTCGGGGCCCCCGGGAGGCTGCGCCCCGCCCCACCGGGCACGCGTGAGCGGCGTGCCCACCTTGTTGGTCGGCACCCCGTCGACGGGCGTGCGCGTCAGCACCACACGGTCCCGCCCGTGCTCAACGATGATGGACTTGGGGCAGGAGAGCCCGTCCTCCGCGTCGCAGAAGTAGTTGTCGATGAGCACGCGGAAGTGGCCGTGCACCGGCTTGATCTGCTGCACCAGCACATACGTGCAGTTGTCCAGGAACGTGTAGTAGGTGCCGTCGAAGGTGATGTAGTGCGGGTCTCCCCAGCCGCTGCACACACCTGCCGGGCGCCACGGCCGACTCACGGGGTTGCAGGGCCTCCCCCGCCACGGCCCCCCACGTCACCAGAACACGCCCCTCTGTCTGGCAGGGGCTTGGCAAGGCCTGAGTGGGGCAGGGACAGACCCCTCATCCTCTCCCGCCCGGCAGGGCCGGCGGTTTGGGGGCCGGGCAGGGCTCCCTCAGCACCCTGGGGATCCTGCCACTCTGGAGCGCCACCCGCTCCTGCCGTGATGCTGGAAGTCCTGCCTGGCGTCCCCCGGACTCCATCCTCCTCCACCCCAGCCCCTGCTTCGCGGGCCCCCAGCTCACACTGGCACTGGTAGTGCGTGCAGCAGCCGTCCCGGTCAGCCACCTTCAGGGCCGGGTAGCCGTTGGCGCAGGTGGGCTCCTCCACCTTCGGGCACTGGCGCGGGCGCAGGGAGATGACGTTGTTCCCCTCGCAGGTGGCCTGGGAGCAGTTGGCCATAGCCCAGGTCTCCCCTTTCTGCGGAAACACAGGAAGCAGCAGGGTCTGAGCCCTCCCCAGCCTCTGGGGTCCCCTCGTGGGGACAAGGGAGGACTAGGGACCATGGCTGTGCTGCCGAGACCCCCATTCGAGCCCCGGTCTCCTGCCCATCCCCCTGATGATGTTCAACCCAGAGCCAGCTAGGGGTCTCTGGGTGGGAGCCGCGCCCTCCCTGACGGCCCAGCCAGGACGCAGCACCCGTGTCGGGCACCCGGCCAGCAGCGGCAGCCTCCACCCCCGGCCACCTCCCTGCCAGGCGGGCCCTTCAGGGAGCCCCGGGACCAGACGCCCCAGGCTGGAGCAGGGCCAGCTCCAGATGGGCGGCCGGCATCGGACGGGGCCAGGAACCTTTGCGAGACCTTGAGGCGGAAGCCCAGTTGCAAAGACATTTGAGGTCCCACAGGAGCCCCTGAGTGTCCGGAGGGGCAGGAAGGTGGACGTTACCTTTCTTGGGGGAACCGCATGGGGGCATCCCTGTGTAGTGACAGGCTCAGAGGTGGCAGTCGAAGCGGGCGTTACCGGGGAAGGGGGCGGCGTGGTGGAGGGACAGGCACTGTCAGCCCCTCTGACCACCTGGCAGTCCCAGCTGCACAGGGCGTAGTAGCAGTGGCCCGCGAGGTCCGTCTGGCGGTAGATGACGGATCCTGCAACAGGTAGGGAGGCCGTGGCCCTGAGCTCAGAGAAGGCGCCACACCTCCCAACCTGCTGGGCCTATGGCGAGGGGCCCCTTCCACCCCCACGTAAATGGGAAAATAAATCGAAAGAAGGATTGCAGCCACACAGCGTGGACCGTCAGCCTGTGCCGCAACGGGGCAGGGAACTCTGAAGCTGACAGCACGATGGCTGCCCATGGAGGGAAAGCTGTGGCCGGGGCGTGCTCAGACCAGCCCTGCAGCAGAGACACACGTACCTGCGGGATACAGCCGGTCACCTACACTGCAGAAGCAGGTCGGAGTGGAGGGCGCCACAGAGCTGGACATGGCAGAGCTGGACACGGCAGAGCTGGACAGGACCGCAGGTGATGTCTTGGCAGAGGGACTCGTGTGGGGGGCCACAGAGCTAAGGGGGCAACCGTCAGG